AGCCCCCTCCCAGCCCGTACCCCAACCCAACCCACTTCACCACCCCACCAAACCCCACCGCCCTAGCCCACAGCCTAGAGAACCTCACCCTCTCCCACACCAACCCCACCTGGTTCATGGACACCTGAGCCTCCCACCATATCACCACCGACCCAGGTACTTTATCTCATGTACTTTCTTCAAACATTAATTCATCTATGCATATTATTGTTGGTAATGGTTCTAAAATAAGCACTACTGGTTATTGTCAGGGTACCCTTCCCACTTCCCCTCCCCTCACCCTAAATAATGTCCTTGTTTCCCCACATATCATACATAACCTCATCTCTGTCCGTCAATTTACTCGTGATAATAATTGCACTCTTGAATTTGATTCATGTGGTTTCTCTGTTAAGGACAACCTGACGGGAGTCGTGATTCATCGATCCAATAGTGACGGACCTCTCTACCCCATCTCTCAAGCCACCTCCAGCGCTCAGCTTCATCTAGCACAAGTTGATCTTCCCACCTGGCATCGCCGTCTTGGACACCCCAGCCCAGCTGTTCTCCATGGAGTGTCACATTCTTTAGATAGATTAGCTAAATCTAGATTAGATCTTTTATGTCATGCATGTCAACTAGGCAAACATGTTCGCCTGCCTTTTCAGTCTTCAAGTCGTATTACTACTTTTCCCTTTCAGTTAATGCATACAGACTTATGGCAATCTCCTGTTCCTAGTGTAACTGGTTTTAAATTTTATATGTTTCTCCTTGATGATTTCTCCCATTACTTATGGATATTTCCCATTCGTCATAAATCTGATGCTTATTCTCATCTTGTAAAATTTCATGCTCTTGTTAAGAACCAATTTAACACCACCATCAAATCTGTTCAATGTGATAATGGCACCGAATATAGAAACACCCCTCTTGCCACATTCTTCGAATCCCTAGGTATCCTCTTCCGCTTCTCTTGCCCTTACACCAGCCAACAAAATGGGCGTGCTGAACGAACCATTCGCACCTTAAATAACACAGTTCGCACCCTACTCTTCCAGGCCAATCTCCCCCCTCATTTTTGGGTCGAAGCATTACATATGGCCACCCACCTCTTCAATATCCTTCCCACTACCACCCTAAACAATCGCACCCCTCATGAAGTCCTCCATCGCACTTCCCCATCTTACACCCATCTTCGCGTCTTCGNCACCTCCTTATTCGTCTACAGTCGCGGACAGGACATGGCTCTACTGCTGCTTTATGTTGATGATATTGTCCTCACAGCCTCATCCACTGCCCTTCTTCAGCATCTCACAAAACGGCTAAAAGGGGAGTTTGCTATGACAGATATGGGTGACCTTCACTTCTTTCTTGGGATCAATGTTCAGCGGACCTCTCACGGCCTGTTCCTCACTCAGACTCAGTTCCTCTATGACATCCTCGAACGGGCCGGTATGACAGCATGCAAGCCGGTTTCTACACCCGTCGACACCCGCGGGAAACTTTCGGCCGCGGCCGGCGATCCAGCCCCAGATCCCTCTCTCTATCGCTCCATTGTGGGAGCTCTGCAGTACCTCACTTTCACCCGTCCGGATATTACCTATGCCATTCAGCAGCTATGCCTTTTCCTTCATGATCCTCGTGCCCCACACGTTACAGCAATGAAGCGCGTTTTGCGCTACCTACACGGCACACCCACCCATGGCATCACCATCTCACCCTCTCATACAGATCACATGCGGGCATATTCATATGCAGATTGGGCTGGTTGCCCAGATACTCGCCGATCGATGTCTGGTTACTGCATATTTCTTGGCGACAATCTCATCTCTTGGTCCTTTAAGCGCCAGCTCACCACCTCTCGGTCCAGTGCAGAGGCCGAATACCGAGCCGTTGCAAATGCTGTCGCTGAAGTCAGTTGGGTACGCAATCTTCTCCTGGAACTCCGGCAACCTCTGAGTCGCTCTACACTAGTCTTCTGTGATCAGTGCCGTATATCTATCTGCTAATCCCGTCAAGCATCAGCGCACGAAGCATATTGATGTTGACATTCACTTTGTACGCGACAGAGTAGCCCTTGGTCAGATAAGAGTCCTACACGTACCTTCTTCCCTACAGTATGCCGACATATTCACCAAGGGACTTCCCTCTATAGTCTTCTCCGAGTTTCGGGATTGCTTGGGCGTGCGGCGATCTTCATTAGTGCCGTTGGGAGCATGTTAAATATGTTAATATTATATTTAATATTATTGTATATTGGTAGCTACCATATTTGTATAGGGTGCATTAATTACAGTTTCCTATTGTCATTAGGAAACTCCTGTATATAAACACATGTAATCTCCCATAATATTCTATTCGAAAATATTCCTTCTACAATTAGCACGGATCACTAGTAACAGGGGTGGTTGGCGGTGGGAGTCGTAGTCAATGGCAGGAGATGGTCGGCGGTTGAGGGAAATATAAAATTCCCACATTGATATCTCCCAAATTCGGAGATATCAAAATCTTTTATTTGGAAAATTTGTGATATCTGAATATATCAAACTCGAATTCTTTTTATGTCTCACCAGACACCAAAAAAAATTTGATACTAGAAGATATGAAAACTCATATCTCCTCCACTCACCACATAGGCCCTTAGAGAGAAAAGGAAATGATCCATTCATTCAAAAATCAAAGTTTTTGTACTTTTCTTTTAAAATTAGCACTGATACGAATTACGTATCGGATAGAGAGGAATATCGAGCGCTTTCAGGCTCTTAAGAAAAAAGAACATAAAGATGGAAACTTCAAGCATTTTCAGACTCGCATAAAAAGTGAGAAGAAGATTAGGGTTTGAATATTCTTGATTAATGCTTATTCTAAAAGGGTAAAACTATATTTATATGAGAGATGAGGAAACTTTAATGTAAAAGGAAAGAGAATATTTGGAATATATTTTCGTATATATTAGTTTTGATAGTTTCCTTGTATTGGTAGTTTCCTTGTGTAGGGTTCAACTTGTGAGAACCTATATATATGTCTTGGTTGTAAATTGTAAACACAAGAAATACTAGAGAATTTTCTCCGAATTAATTCTTTCACTTAACCCTGAACAATATTTAAACCTGATCACATCAGTTGAACAAATGCATCAATGTAAAAATTGAAAAGAAATCCTCATAGGAGATTATAATTTCACTCACTCAATAAAATATAGATAAGAATAAATAATAAATAATAAATATTAATTAACATATTAATTAATAATTAAATAATTAAATGACCTAATCACGATGTATCACTCTCACCTCTTAGAAAACTACATTATCCTCAAGATGGTGGCTCACACTCATGCTTGATGTGGTCATTAGAGAAAAGTTGAACCAAATGACATGTCCACTTGCTAACCATACGAGAATACTAAACTTGTACAATATCAAGAATATCAAACAACTTGACGGTGTCCAACAAAATTGAGGATCAGCGTGGTTACAGTCTTCATTCACTACCTAGTCTGCTCTTCCTAAAACTTGAGACTCTGATTGTTCACTCGAACCAAGGCATTTACCGACACATAAAATCCAAAATGTAGGCATGAACAACATCTTCAGTAGTTGCATATTCATCTTCCGCTTGGAGAATACTTACAGGGTCAACAACATCTCTCTCCTCAAATACCTTATCAATCAAATTGGTATCGTGCACAATAAAAGTAAGGCCAAGATTTGGTGGATAAAGTGAAGCCTCGATGAGGTTTTTCATTGTGTTCACCATGTTTGTTCTAGAAGCTTGAAATTCAAATGGAATTTTATGCCTCACAATTGGAAAACATGACCTAAATCATGTATTGAGGGGACAGAGTGGTTACAATCTTTATCCGCTACCTGGTCTGCACTTCCTAAAACTTCATACTCTACATTGTCCACTCCAACCAATGCATTTATCATCGTATCAATACATAAGTTTGTGTGATGTAAGATCTGCATATAGGCATGAAAAACATTTTCAACTGTGGCATCTTTATCTTCAATTTCAAGAATACTTACATGGTCAACAACATTGTTCTCCTCAAATTCCTTTTCAATCGAATTGGTGTCCACCATGTTTATTCTAAAAGCTTGTAATTCAATGGAATTTGACTCCACACAATTAGGGGCCACAAACTAATAAATCCTGTATTGAGTAGGAGATTTCTATGTTGAACCTGCATAAGTCAAAATAAAAAATTTGGTTCACTTGCAATATGATAGAACGACTTGAGTTTTTTCATAATTTTATCCACATGATCGTAAAATACACACACTTTTTAGTCATGTTCAACTTTACAATATAGAAGATTTTCCAATAAATCAATAA